AAAAAGTCAAGGGGTCTGAATACTTTCCGAAGGCACTGTATATTGTTTAACACCATAAACTGATTTGTGCTAGACTGGACTCTACTTCTTGAACCTTGGGTCATTTTCTCTTCCTCTCCCAAGGTATGTGAACTGGACATCATCTTTAACTTTGAAAAGGCTTGCTTCATCCTGGATGAGTTTCTGTTGGGGGGAGAGGTACAGGAGACGTCCAAACAGGTCGTGTCCCGCTCCATCGAGGCCTCAGACATGCTACAGGAGGTGAGCGAGATACCACGCTCAGGGTAGATGTTGCCTGTTCACACTGATCTAGGATCAGTATTTCCGCTTCCAATGTTAACTGAGACTATTTGGGGAAGAATTGCAAAAACTAACCTTAGATCAGTGTCTAGAAGCAACATCGTAAACACTTTATCTTACGGTCTGATATTTACCTGGTTTTTACATATGATTTGCCTGGTACAATTATTATAATTACATAATAATTAGCTAATAATTAACCTAATGTTTATTTAGGATTTATTGCACCATTTAGTAACAAGTATTTACCAATTTTAATGAATTCTTTACTGAAAAGTACCCATTTTACCCTATAATTCCTTAGTAAAAACCTGGTAAAAGTGGACTGTTGAAATGGTGTAAATGTCTCATGGGTTGAATGTGCAGTGCTGCTGACTGACTCCTGATGAGCTCTCTTCTGTCTCATAGCTAATAGGCTTCCCTACATGACCCATATTAACTGGTGGAATTACTTATGGTCCTATTATCCTCTTTCTCTGTCTGTATCTCTCTGTCTTTCTCTCTGTCTCTCTGTCTGTCTCTCTGTCTCTGTCTGTCTGTCTCTCGTGAGAGACCGAACCAATTTAGATTATTCTCGCTCTCTCGTTGCTGTAGGTATGTGTACTCTGCATGTTAGCGTGAAATGGGGCTGAAGGTAAAAACGTTTGCGGTATGCTATTGGTCGTTCCAATTACTGGTTGTTCTGATACAACTGAAAAGGAAATGTAACATAATTTTACTACACTTGACATAGTCCACAAACAATAAGTTCATCTTTGAATTTGACATTTTGTCAGTGCTTATAAATTCCACCTGCTAAATAGTTGCATTGTAAATGTTGAGTACTTTTATTTGACTATTAGCAAACAAATACAAACCTTGAATCAAGTACTCGCGCCCATCCCTAGTTTATTATTATAATAATAATAATAATAATAATATGCCATTTAGCAGACGCTTTTATCCAAAGCGATTTACAGTCATGCGTGCATACAATTTTGTGTATGGGTGGTCCCGGGGATCGAACCCACTACCCTGGCATTACAAGCGCCGTGCTCTACCAGCTGAGCTGCAGAGGACCACAGTTTCACGATCTTCTTGCTTAGGAAATACAACTAACATTTTGATCCTAATCCCTATTGCATGCTATCTGAACTGTTGCATTTTAATCTTCATCACCCTCATCATCATTGCTTTAGGCTGAGATTGACAACAGTGATTATGATCTGGAGCTTGGATGGCCTTGAATTTGGACAAAGGTTAGACGCTAATGATTGTGATTGTATTAGTAGCATAGTACCTTGTGTAAACGTTCTATGCTTATGTCTTAACGGATGTGAGATGCATACAAAGATGTTATGTAGGTGTGGCTGTGAATATTCATGACATTAAAACAAGGCTTGTTGATATGGAGATCACACAATTCATTCGTCCCTCTGTGCATCTCTCCTCTCCAGACCATGGAGGAATACATGAGCAAGCCTGCATTCTAACACTGGAAAAAGGGATCTACACACAGAAGGAGGAATTTGGAATACAGGACCATTCCTGAACTGGAAGTCTTCCTACTGTACAGAATCCATGGAATGATGAGTTCTAGATTTCTATGACTGAATCTGTCTGCTGAGGCAGGCATGACGTTTTATCCTGGATTGAGTGTTCTAAATACTGCGTTCTCTATCACACTGGAAAGATAAGGAAGAGACATTACTTTAGCTGTTATTATTGTATATTGATACGATCACCTATCCCCCTGGATCATTGAAGAAGTTACTGATAACTGTGGTTATGACAATCATAATATATCACCAAGAAGTGCTTTTGAATCAATACTTTATTTCTTAAATGACATGTGTATGTAAGATATATCGAAATTGAAAAAGTGCCTCTTTATAATATGTATTTGAAGTTGTGTTTTAAATGTATCTTGTAGACTAGCCTTGTTTTGTATAATCTTGGTTGGGACTAGCCTTTTTGGAAAAGGAATGAGTATTTATGTGGGTGAATGTCACTGTTTGTTTTTTTTATAACTAATTATTGATCTTGAATGTTGAAGACTTTGGAATTAAAATATGTATTTTGATACAGAAGCTTCTGGTGATTTGTATTTCTGTTGTAGGCTAGACTATTTAATGTTCATCATTGTTTTGAGGTTTTATCTGCAGGAGCTGTCCATGGTCCTGAAGTTAGATTTTCAAACTAGTTCACTTTTAAGCGCACGATAAGCTTTGATAAAACAAGCACATTTATCTGTATATTTTTCATTTATAGGCAACCACTGACTCTTTACTTTCTCTAATCTTACCTTGAATTTGTGTTGATTCTGCCTCAACATTATTCAGGTCCATGCTTGCTCAAGAGAGAAGAGAAGAAAACAACTAGCGCTTGTGGAATCAAGCTTCATTCAGAAGGCATATATAATCATCACTGTCTATCAATGTAGGTCTAGTGATCAGTGTTTTATAATAAGACAACAGAACGCAGCAAGAAGAAAATAACACCGCTAATGCTTTATTCATCTCCAACTCGTCACACATTATTGAACACATACAAAATGGTTTATAAATTAGCATATATACCACAACAACCGAGAGAGTCCAACACTTACAGAGCTTGCAGCGTTCGAGGGTTGGAAGGCAGGATGGTGACGGTCATAATCTCTAGCCAGATCAGGGAAGTACATTTTCACAATGTTACAAGATTGGGAACTCACAAACCCAGATGTATACACGACACACACACTGCCTCCAGCCCAGCACACTGATATGTTATATATATATTATTTCCTGTACTGTATATACACATTTTATGTAAACTAGAGTATGTCCAGCAGAATGGTTATTGATAGTATAAACATTACTTATTTAATATTCATATTTCAGTAGAGAATGTCTTCACAGCGTAGCCTACATTCCAGCAACCGGTTTTCTGTGATGCTCCTATTCCTCCTCGTTCTTGGTCTCTGGAGCTTCGGTCTCCTGTGGAACCTCATCTTTCACCTGTGTCTCCATGGGCTCCACCACCTCCTCATTACCCTCTGAATCTCTCTTTGTCATTGTGCCTGCTTTCTCACTGTCTGCTTGGTCAAAGTAATCTTTCATGGCTTGTTCGTATAGCTCGTAAGGAAACTGTCCCATAGCCTGAGATTGGGTGTCGCGTTTGCTGATCGTGCTGGGGTACTTAGTTAATATTTTGGCTGCCAGAAATGTAATCATCTCATCTTCCTCCGCCTCATCATCGTTGTCAGATTCTCTCTTAAAAGGCATCTTGTTGAGCTCCGACATAAATATGTTTTCCCTTCGGCCAGATGAGGCTGGGACTTTTGGAGCAACCGCAGGAGGCGGTGCTGGTGCTAAAATTCTCGCCGGTGCGAGTGGTGCTAAAACCCTGGGCGGGGCAGAAGCACTCTTGAGTGGCCGCCGACTCACAGGATAGTCATTGCTGATGGTTTCCATTTCGATGATATTCAGGAAGTTTTCCTCGTCCATGTCTTCAGGAGCATTTTTGACTGGCAGTCTCCGGCTGTAGTATCTGATCTTCGGTTTACTGCTGGTCCTGTAGCGGGGGGAGGCTTGTGGGTGATGGTCTAGTTTTCTGATTTCCTCGGTGATCAGCATATCGATAAGGTCCTCCGGGGGGATGTGGAGTTTGAGGGAGATCTCTAACAGCTCGTTCAGGGCCTGGGGGTCCACCAGGGGGTGGCGGATCACTCTCTTTATTTGCTCTCCAGCTTGCCTCTTGGCTGTCTCATGTTTGCTCATCCCCAGGATCTTCAACAGGTAATAATCTACTAGTTTAGTATCTTCCTCTGGGTCCTCTTTATTCTGGCTGGCCCTGCGCTGCATCTGCATTCCGTCGCCCTCCTCTTCCTCCTCCTCGTCATAGTTCTGCAGAGCCCTGTCAAACTCCTCGTGTCTCCTGTTCACCACGTCCTCAGTCTCGACATTCTCCTCTACGGGAATCCACTCCTCCCCACCCGCCACGTCCTCATAGGCCAGGTTCCTCAGACTGAATAAATCGTCAACATCGTCAAAGATTCCGCGCTTCTGGCTGTTGGAGGTGGATAGTTTCCCCTGCTCTTGGAAGATGGATCGCAGGTTGGTGAGGCTCTGAGGGGTGTATTTTTCATTCAGTTCCTCTGTGGCGCGCTTGGCGCTGTCTCTATTTTCCTCGTCCTCGAACATCAGCGGGTACTTCTTGTGCGGCCTCGGAAAGCCACCGTAGGCAGGCGCGTTCACGGGGCTGCCTGTGTTGGCTGAGGGGTGCTTGTGTGCGCGGCGGTCGTTCCCCGGCACCACAAGGGCGGGTCTTGGGGGACTAGCGGGCTGCTCCTGGAGGGTCCTGAGCAAGGCTCTCACCAGCTGCTCAGCCGGGATGTCCTGCTGCCTCTGGGCCGGTGGGGAGGACTGCCTTTCGGGTGTGCCTTCGCCCTGGAGAGAGGCAAGCTGGAGGAGGATGCGGAACTTCTGGACCTCATCATAGTCTCTTGTTGGCTTCTCTCGCTCTCGGCCCCCGTCTGTCCGCTGCTTCAGGCTCTCGATGTACTCCAGGGCTTTGATCATGTCGGAGCTGGGTGGGTAGACAGCGGGTTGCCGTTCTTCTGCCTCCCCACCTCTGAGCCTGTGGTGGCGGGGGAGGGACGCGCCCTGCACGGAGCACGCATGGAGGAGGCAGGCGAGAACAACAGCTTTTCCTGTGGATAGCTTGGAGAGTGACAGCATCTTATTATAGCCTGTTGAGAGAGACAAAGTGATGAGTTCAATAAAATGATATGCCTGAACACAGGGGTGTCAGGCACCCATTCTTTTAGAGGGGGCACAAAGTATTTGAAGATGGAGAATTTAGCATTTTTCAAACACCTGAAACAGCTTTTTCCTGCAATCCAGCCATAATCATTATGCCCATAATTTTTAAAAATATTTTTCTGCATAGGTTATCTAAGCAGACCTCTTTACCTATTCAATTATAATTTTAATAAATTATGCACATTGATTCTGTAGCCCTTTCCTGCATTCAAATGACCTAGCTAGTGGCCTCATGGGTGGAATGTTATTCATATTTCAGTCTTCTGTGATGTAAATAAAGTGTAATATTGGGATGCAAATTCAAAATTGAATACATTTCAACTCTACAGTGCATTCAGAAAGTATTCAGGGCTCTAACTCCTCTAGCTCTACAATGAGATAGGGTGCAGGCCAGGCAGCAGGCTGTTAGCCAGCCTGCCAGCTTAGTGGAGTCTGCCACTAGCACAGTCAGTGTAGTCAGCTCAGCTATCCCCATTGAGACCGTGTCTGTGCCTCGATCTAGGTTGAGCAAAACTAAACATGGCAGTGTTCGCCTTAGCAATCTCACTGGAATAAAGACCTCCTCCATTCCTGTCATTATTGAAAGAGATCGTGATATCTCACATCTCAAAATAGGGCTACTTAATGTTAGATCCCTCATTTCCAAGGCAGCTATGGTCAATGAACTAATCACTGATCATAATCTTGATGTGATTGGCCTGACTGAAACATGGCTTAAGCCTGATGAATTTACTGTGTTAAATGAGGCCTCTCCTCCTGGTTACACTAGTGACCATATCCCCCACGCATCCCGCAAAGGCGGAGGTGTTGCTAACATTTACGATAGCAAATGTCAATTTACCCCCCCAAAAATGACTGCGTTTTTGTCTTTTGAGCTTCTATTCATGAAATCTCTGCAGCCTACTCAATCACTTTTTATAGCTACTGTTTACAGGCCTCCTGGGCCGTATACAGAGTTCCTCACTAAATTCCCTGAATTCCTATCGGACCTTGCAGTCATGGCAGATAATATTCTAATTTTTGGTGACTTTAATATTCACATGGAAAAGTCCACAGACCCACTCCAAAAGGCTTTCGGAGCCATCATCGACTCAGTGGGTTTTGTCCAACATGTCTCCGGACCTACTCATTGCCACAGTCATACCCTGGATCTAGTTTTGTCCTGTGGAATAAATATTGTGGATCTAAATGTTTTTCCTCATAACCCTGGACTATTGGACCACCATCTTATTACGTTTGCAATCGCAACAAATAATCTGCTCAGACCCAAACCAAGGACCATCAAAAGCCGTGCTATAAATTCTCGGACAACCCAAAGATTCCTAGAGGCCCTTCCAGACTCCGTCCACCTACTCAAGGACGTCAGAGTACAAAAATCAGTTAACGACCTAACTGAGGATCTAAATTTAACCTTGCGTAATATCCTAGATGCAGTCGCACCCCTAAAAACAAAAAACATTTGTAACAAGAAACTTAGCTCCATGGTATACAGAAAATACCTGGATATGCTTAACACCCCGGCCATCCTACAATCTAAACTAGATGCCCTCAATCTCACACAAATTATCAAAGAACCTACCAGTTACAACCCTAAATCCGTAAACATGGGCACCCTCATAGATATCATCCTGACTAATTTACCCTCTAAATACACCTCCGCTGTCTTCAACCAGGATCTCAGCGATCACTGCCTCATTGCCTGCGTCCGTAATGGGGCCGCGGTCAAACGACCACCCCTCATCACTGTCAAATGCTCCCTAAAACACTTCAGCGAGCAAGCCTTTCTAATTGACCTGGCCCGGGTATCCTGGATGGATATTGATCTCATTCCGTCAGTAGAGGATGCCTGGTTGTTCTTTAAAAGCGCTTTCCTTTCCATCTTAAATAACCATGCCCCATTCAAAAATTCAGAACTAAGAACAGATATAGCCCCTGTTTCACCCCAGACTTGACTGCCCTTGACCAGCACAAAAACATCCTGTGGCGTACTGCATTAGCATCGAACAGCCCCCGCGATATGCAACTTTTCAGGGAAGTCAGGAACCAATATACACAATCAGTTAGGAAAGCAAAGGCTAGCTTTTTCAAACAGAAATTTGCACTCTGTAGCACTAACTCCAAAAAGTTTTGGGACACTGTAAAGTCCATGGAGAATAAGAGCACCTCCTCCCAGCTGAAACACTGTCACCACTGATAAATCTACGATCATTGAGAATTTCAACAAGCATTTTGCTACGGCTGGCCATGCTTTCCACCTGGCTACCCCTACCCCGGCCACCAGCTCTTCACCCTCCGCTGCAACTTGCCCATGCACGCTTCTCCTTCACCCAAATTCAGATAGCTGATGTTCTGAAAGAGCTGCAAAATCTGGACCCCTACAAATCAGCTGGGCTAGACAATCTGGACACTTTCTTTCTCAAATTAGTCGCCGAAATTGTCGCAACCCCTATTACTAGCCTGTTCAACCTCTTTTTCGTATCGCCTGAGATCCCCAGAGATTGGAAAGCTGCCGCGGTCATCCCCCTCTTCAAAGGGGGTGACACTCTAGATCCAAACTGTTACAGACCTATATCCATCCTGCCCTGCCTTTCGAAAGTATTTGAAAGCCAAGTTAACAAACAGATGACCGACCATTTTGAATCCCACCGTACCTTCTCCGCTATGCAATCTGGTTTCCGAACTGGTCATGGGTGCACCTCAGCCACGCTCAAGGTCCTAAACGATATTATAACCGCAATCGATAAAAGACAGTACTGTACAGCCTTCTTCATCGACCTGGCCAAAGCTTTCGACTCTGTCAATCACCGCATTCTTATTGGCAGACTAAATAGCCTTGGCTTCTCAAATGACTGCCTCGCATGGTTCATCAACTACCTCTCAGATAGAGTTCAATGTGTCAAATCGGAGGGCCTGTTGTCTGGACCTCTGGCAGTCTCTATGGGGGTGCCACAGGGTTCAATTCTCGGGCCGACTCTATTCTCTGTGTATATCATTGATGTCGCTCTTGCTGCTGGTGACTCTCAGATCCACCTCTACGCAGACGACACCATTTTGTATACATCTGGCCCTTCATTAGACACTGTGTTAACAAACCTCCAAACGAGCTTCAATGCCATACAACACTCCTTCCGTAGCCTCCAATTGCTCTTAAACGCTAGTAAAACTAAATGCATGCTCTTCAATTGAACGCTGCTTGCACCCGCCCGCCCGCCCGACTAGAATCACTACTCTCGGCGGTTCTGACTTAGAATATGTGGACAACTACAAATACCTAGGTGTCTGGTTAGACCGTAAACTCTCCTTCCAGACTCACATTAAGCATCTCCAATCCAAAGTTAAATCTAGAATCAGCTTCTTATTTCACAACAAAGCCTCCTTCACTCATGCTGCCAAACATGCCCTTGTAAAACGGACTATCCTACCGATCCTTGACTTCGGCGATGTCATTTACAAAATAGCCTCCAACACTCTACTCAGCAAATTGGATGTAGTCTTTCACAGTGCCATCTGTTTTGTCATCAAAGCCCCATATACTACCCACCATTGTGACCTGTACACTCTCATTGGCTGGCCCTCACTACATATTTGTCGCCAAACCCACTGGCTCCAGGTCATCTATAAATCACTGCTAGGCAAATCCCCGCCTTATCTTAGCTCATTGGTCACCATAGCAACACCCACCCGTAGTATGCGCTCCAGCAGGTATATCTCACTGGTCATCCCCAAAGCCAACACCTCCTTTGGCTGCCATTCCTTCCAGTTCTCTGCTGCCAATGACTGGAACGAACTCCAAAAATCTCTGAAGCTGGAGACTCTTATCTCCCTCACTAACTTTAAGCATCAGTTGTCAGAGCAGCTTACCGATCACTGCACCTGTACACAACCCATCTGTAATTAGCCCACCCAACTACCTCATCCCCATATTGTTATTTATTTTGCTCATTTGCACTCCAGTATCTCTATTTGCACATCATCTTCTGCACATCTATCACTCCAGTGTTAATACTAAATTGTAATTATTTTGCACTATGACCTATATATTGCCTTACCTCCATAACTTACTACATTTGCACACACTGTATATAGATTTTATATTTTTCTATTGTGTTATTGACTGTACGTTTTTGTTTATCCCATATGTAACTCTGTTGTTGTTGTTTTTAAATCGCACTGCTTTGCTTTATCTTGGCCAGGTCGCAGTTGTAAATGAGAACTTGTTCTCAACTGGCCTACCTGGTTAAATAAAGGTTAAAAATAAAATAAAAAATAGGTTCCGTTTTAGGACCCTATTATTTTCACTATATATTTTACCTCTTGGTCATTCGGAAACACAATGTTAACTTTCATTGCTATGCGGACGACACACAGCTGTACATTTTGATGAAACATGGTGAATCCCCAAAATTGCCTACCCTGGAAGCCTGTGTTTCAGACATAAGGAAGTGGATGGCGGCAAATGTTTTACTTTTAAACTCGGACAAAACAGAGATGCTAGTTCTATGTCCCAAGAAACAAAGAGATCTTCTGTTGGATCTGACAATTTATCTTGATGGTTGTACAAATGTCAAAAAAAGGACAAACATATCAAGAATATTTCAAGGACAGCTTTTTTCCATCTTCGTAACATTGCAAAAATCAGAAACCTTTTGTCCAAAAATGATGCAGAAAAGCTAATCCATGCTTTTGTCACTTCTAGATTAGACTACTGCAATGCTCTACTCTCCGGCTACCCGGATAAAGCACTAAATAAACTTCAGTTAGTGCTAAACACGGCTGCTAGAATCTTGACTAGAACGAAAAAATGTGATCATATTACTCCAGTGCTAGCCTGGCTTCCTGTTAAGGCTAGGGCTTATTTCAAGATTTTACTGCTAACTTACAAAGCATTACATGGGTTTGCTCCTACCTATCTCTCC